GAGTATGGAGGTATTTATAAATACATAAATCATTTCAATCAGTTTTATTGAATCATGATTTATACTCATCTAAGGTTATATATTTTAAGAGTATAATTTTATTAGTTTTGGCATGTGCATGTATACGTTTATACTACCGCCACCGCAGTCAAAACAGAATACTTCCATCACCTTCAAACACTCCCTCATGCCTCGTTCCAGTCAATTTTTTCCCATTCCTGGTCTTGGACCACTCTCAATCTGTTTCTTATTAATGTAGTTTTGGATTTTCTATATTTCCATATGGAATCAAAGAATGTAGAATCACTCAGTAACTAGTGTTTTTGTCCTTGAAAAATACTTGTAAGCAAACTAAATGACATGCCACAGGTTAGTCTGAAAAGACTCAAATTTAAGTTATGTGAACTCATCTTAAATAAAAAGATACTAACCCAAATTTTAAAACGAGGCAAAGTATTTGAATGGACAACTCACCAAGAAAAGATATACAAATGACAAATATATATAAAAACATGCCCAACATCTTTAATCATTAGAGAAATACAAATTAAAATCACAATGACATACCTCTGCTCACCCATTGAAATGGCTAAAAATAAAATATCAAAATGATGGAGAGAATGTGGAGCAACTGAAAGTCATACATAATGTGGGGAAATTCTTTAGAAGTTTGTTTGATAGTTTCTAATAAATTTAAAGATATATTTACCATAAATTTCAGCAATCTGACCTTCAGTGTTTACCCCAAAGAAATGAAAAGATGCATTCACACAAAGACCTGGTCAAAACTCTTTGTAGCAGTTTTATTTATAATAGTCCTAAGCTGGAAACAACTCAAGTCAATTGAGGGAATGAAATACAACAAAAAGCTATGCGGTAATAAAAAGCAAACAATTAATGATAAGCACTACAGGATAGATGAATTGTGAAAGCATTATATTGAGTGAAAAGCCAGATACAAAAGTTTATGTAGGAGAAATCTGGCAGGCTTACAAAATTTTTTAAAAAAGCATCAATGTTTGAGTATCACACATCATTGGATGCTATGTTCCTGATCATTTTTGTCCTCAAAGAGCCTACATAACTTCATGAATATTTACCAATATAACAGCAACATAAAAATCTCACCAAGAGATTTTTCTTAGAGGAGAGCCTTTGTAGAGTAGTTCTTCAGATGCCGTTTTGTCTTTCTTATCATAGTCCGTGTGCCCAAGGGAAGTTGTAGTGCATATACAGCTGATTTCACAAATCACAATGTAGAACATTTCCATTATTTCCAAGTGGGTTCTATAGTCCCAGGACAGAATCCATGGCAGACATCAGAGATCCATGCCTTCAAATGGATCGTCTAGCTGAAAGAGAGTCAAACCCAATGTGGAAGGTAGTCGTAGATTCCACAGCCAGTCTGTAAGTCTTACTGGGGTGGGAAACGGAGAGATTCCTGAAGCCAACATAGGGGTCCCCACAGATCTTGGAAAGTGGGTGTCAATGTTTATGTTTATACCCTAAATTCTGCCACTTCAGAGAAGCTGTCCTGGTCACACAGTGAAGGATGTCCTTTCTCCCATAATTTTATATCAACTTCTTAGAGGCTTCCCTGCTCATGTATTTCTTTACTTTTTCTTTTCTGGGTATTTCCTTGCCCCAGAATTCCAGCTCCTTGAGGTCAAGGATCTGTTTGTTGTTGTTGTTTTTAATTAGCCGATGGATCCTAATGTATACCAGAGTCTGGCACAAATTAGGTGTTCTGAAAATATGGACTCAGTAGAATCAAATACAATTAAATTTGAATAAATTTGATAGAATTTGATGATAAATACACTAAGAAATGATACATTTCTTCTAATAAAATCATTTCTTCATCTGTTGTTAAGGATCAAATTATATAATATGTGTAAATTAGAGTACAGTGGCCTAGCACACTGCAAAAACTCAAAATCATGAGATGGGGTTAAATTACCTCATTATGTCAAGATCATGAAACAAATCTAATTCTCCCTTAATTCTACCACTTCAATGAAGTTTTCTTCTTTTTAAAACATCCTTTTGTTTTCCTTCCAAAATTCTTGCAGCTCCCCTTCCACATTTTTCTAATTGCTGCTCAAGAATATTGGGAGTTTGAATCAAAACCCTAACTCTGAAATCTTCCTTCTTTTTTTGGTCTCAGGTTCTAGAACTTTTAGTCCTATCTGATCTTCTAAATTGCATGATGTAGTCTTACTCCAGAGTACAAAGTTTAGAGGGAGAATGGAAACTTATATTAAGGTAACATTAAAACAATGTATTCAACCTAAAATGCCATTTATTGTATTCCATCTGTTTATTTTCTCTTTCTTTCTTTCTTTCTTTCTTTCTTTCTTTCTTTCTTTCTTTCTTTCTTTCTTTCTTTCTTTCTAAATAGAAATTGAACCCAGGGGTGCTTAACCACTGAGCCACTTAACCACTGAGCCTTATAATATTTTATTTAGAGACAGGATGTTGCTGAGTTGCTGAGAGCCTCACTAAATTGCTGAGGCTGGCTATGAACTCATGATCCGCCTGCCTCAGCCTTCAAAGCCGCTGGGATTACAGGTGTGTGCCACTGTGCCTGGCTCCATCTATTCATCTATTTCTTTCTTTAAAAAAAATTTTTTTTTAGATATTGATGTACCTTTATTTTATTAATTTTATTTATATGTGTTGCAGAGWATAGAACCCAGTGGCTCACACATGCTAGGCAAGTGCTCAACCACGGAGCCATAACCCAGCSCCAATTTCCTAAACACAACAGAACCTCTCATCAAGTGATCTCAGTAGCAGGTCAGGTAAATATCAACTTGAAATCTATTTTTTGGTTTGTTTTTGTTGTAATGTATAGCAGGTGTAGAACATTGTTGCATTTCTCCATAATATCAAATTGTACTGGCTTATTTAAGAAATTTTATATAGATGCTATCAAAAAATTGAGATGACCTTTCAAAATTTTTTTCAGATTATTTTTCTGAATTTTTGACATTAAGGAATCTAGATGGAAAAGCATTCTTTCTTAAAAAAGATGATTTTTACAGCAAGCAGTTCCTGTTCCATTTTCTTAATTATACTTTAAATTTWAAAAAAATATTGTAAAATATATATAACATAAAATTTACACTTTTACTCATTTTACGTTTGCAATTCAGTGACAGTAATTACACTTTGTGCAACCATTGTTGCCACTCATCTCCAGAATGTTTTCCATCTTTCCCAAATGAAACRGTACACATTGAACAATGACTCCCCCTCCAGGCTCCCACCCTTGGAAACCACCGTTCTTTCTGTCTCTGTAAATTTGACTACTCTAGCCACCTTGCATGAGTGAAATCATATGCACTATTTTTCCTTTAGTGACTCACATTTCACTTAGCTCAGTATCTTCAAGATCCATCCATGTTGTACCATGTGTCAAAATCTCACTTCCTTTTTAAGGCTGAAAAATATTACATTGTATGTATGCCGTTTTTAAATCCATTCATCTGTTGATGGACACTTCAGTGACTTCCAACTTTTGGCTATTGTAAATAATGCTGCTATAAACATTGGCATACAGATATCTGTTTTAAGTCCTGGCTTTCAATTCTTTTAGTTATATATGCAGACGTGAAATATACATTAATTATATGTTTAATTCTGAAGGGAACTTCTGTACTGTTTTCTTTTTTGTTGATTTTTTAAATAAATGACAGTGAAATGCATTACAGTTCATATTACACATATAGAGCACAATTTTTCATATCACTGGTTGTACATAAAGTATATTCACACCAATTTGTGTCTTCCAACATGTGCTTTAGATAATGATGTCCATCATATTCCACCATCATTGCTAACCCCCAGCCCAGAGTTGGAGAAGGTAATGCTAAGTGAAGTTAGGCAATCCCAAAAAAACAAATGCCRAATGTTTTCTCTGATATAAGGAACTGATTCATAGTGGGGTAGGGAGGGAGAACATGGGAGAAATAGACAGACTCTGTATTGTTTTCAATAGCAGCTGTACCTTTTTACATTCCTATTAGAAATGTACAAAGTTTTCAATTTCTCCAATACTTGTTATTTTCTGTTTTTTTAAAATAATAGTCCTCATAATATGTAAGAAGTGGTGTCTCATGTGGTTTTAATCTGTACTTTCCTAATTATTAGTAACATTGAGCATATTGTCATTTTGTATATCTTCTTGGGAAACATATGTATTCAGGTCCTTTCCTCACTTTAAATATCAGGTTGGTTCTTGTTTGTTTTTTGTTGTTATTTTTGAGTTGTGGGAGTTCTTTCTGTATTCTGGATATTAACCCTTCATCATATATAAGATTCACAAATATATTTTTCAATTCCATGAGTTACTTTAACACTGTTGGTAGTGTCCTTTAATGCACAGAGGTTTTAAATTGATGTAAAACATTTAACTTTCTGTAACCTGTGCTTTTTTGTTATTGATATTGTTGCCTGAGCTTTTGGTATCAGTCCCAAGAAATCATTGCTAAATCCAAGGTCATGAAGKTTTCTCCCTATGTTTTCTTCTAAGAGTTTTCTTCTAAGAGCTCTTAGATTTAGGTCTTTGAATCGCTTTGTGTTAATTTTTGCATATGGTACAAGGTAAGGGTCCAACATTTTTCCATGTGAATATTTAGTTCTTCCAGCATCACTTGTTGGAAGGTGTTTTCTAAGCAAGAATTGTTCTAGTGAATGTTTCTAAAGTGATTTGTGACAGTTTCAAAGGTCAAAAAATAATGATTAAGTTGTGCATCACTTAAGGTAGATTTTGACCTCTCCCAAGTTGAAGAGTACTGGGAGAACTAAGATCATTTACATTCCTGAGTGAGAAAAAAAAATAACATAAGCTTCTTGGATAAAGAAGACAAGACTGAAAAGTTACAGGATCATCCATTGGTCAAAGTACACCTGTCCGGTTTGCTGGTATACACACTTTCAGACTCAGGGGTTGGAGAGGCCTCCCTCTTACCTGGCCACTGAGGAGGCTGGTGAGGAACATGTCCTCACCACTTTGGAGTTTGATTATTCTATTGGCATTTGCTAAATTAGATGGTGAAGCTGGTGGACTTGAGCAGCAGCCACGAAAAAGAAGTATTGATAACCTCCAACAGTAAGTAAACAGGAGTTATTTTTGTTGATGGAGTAGGGAAGTTCCTTACCACTTTTCACAAGCAGCCAGATGAGCAATAGTGTAATTTTGCTTGAGGAAAACTGTGATGGTAAAAAGCCAACAGGGAAAATTATTTGGATGGATACATGGAATTACCTTCTTATGTATAAATTATTTATTTTTCCATAAGCCTACTACATGGTTACTAGGAGGTATYTCCGGGAAATTTACAGATAAAGAAGTGGCAGATGACTAGAGCCCAGATGTACACCATCTTGTCTGTAGTTACTCAGTGATAAGTTGTTTAGATTTCAAAATTGTATGTGCTAATGACTGATACAGTCTCTGGTTGTCTTACATAGGCCTCGCATAGCCTCAGAGAGGGGAAATTTAGTGTTTCTTACATCGTCTGCCCAAAACATTGAATTTAGAACTGGACCCCTGGGAAAAATTAAATTAAATGATGAAGACCTCAGCGAATGTTTGCATCAGGTAATAAATATACTGCACACCTATTGAGGTCATTTTGCATATCAATATATAGTGACTTAGTCCAACAGCTCTGTTTTAATCTGTACCTTTACTCTTTAGCCCAGAGAACATGATTGGCACTAAGATGAGTTCTTATAAAGGACAGTGACCTAGAGTTAATGGTGGGTAGGGGGAGTAATGCTAACAGAGGTGGCTCATGGTACAGAAAAATGTACCCTAGCCAGAAATAATACAGAGGATGGTACTTGAATTCCTCTGTAAGGGAGGTGAAGGGGAGGGTAACCAGGGAAAAGTGTTGATGTGGCAAGTTTACTTTTACCAAAGAACTGTATTGGACAATTATTCTCATGCCTTATTGAATGTTTTCAGTGTCAATATTTATTACAYCATGCCTGCATATCTGCTATAATGTAAGAGCTAGCATTGTTTGGAGCATATTATAGGTCATCTGTTTGCATACTACCTGATATCCATGATCTCATTTGACCCTCACAGCTACCCTGTGAAATGGGTTTATTATTACCACATTTATAATGGAGCTAAATGTACCCTAGAACTGTTAAATAATTTGCTCAAAGACACATAATAAATGGCTGAATCAAGATTTAAAACTTGAACCGTCTGGTTCTAAGCCAACTTTCTTCACAAGCACCCTAAACAATTATGGGAAATATGCAAACAGAAAATACATTAATATAGTGTTATGAAAAAGGGTGAGTGGAATTATGCCATGGCTATTTTGTTCTAAAGTTTATTGTTCACAGCATTATTTTAATATTTTAATAGGTAAGATCATAGTGCTTAAAACAGAATATAACTCAAGTTTCTTATTAGAGTCTTCTAAGATGTACATTTTTTTTTTACCAGCATCCTTCTTCTCCTTTTTCTTTTAAAAATAGATTGAGAAAAACAAAGATGATATTGTAGTTTTAAAAAAGAGTGCAGTTGACCTGCCCCAAAATGTATCTAATCAAATCCATCAGCTTAATTCTACGGTAAGTCTGACATCCACATCTTAAGAGTAAATAAGTTCTCCTTAATTCAACTTTGTAAGTAATTCATTTTGCAGGGGACATATCATCTTCTCTTTTTATCACTGTCATTATGGACTTTTTTGTTGAACTTGCATAACTCTAATGGAGGACATAGAGGTGTTCGTGGACAGAATGTTGGAAATATGAGGGCAACAATATGTTGCACATGCGGACATTATTCAAGTTCTGAGATGACCTTCTTATTGGTGAAGGGGCTCATGGCTGTTATGAGAGTTTCAATAGAGTGTCCAGAGAAGCAATGAGATACAGCTTATCAGTAGGGTGTACTTCTTTTAAAAAGATCTAGGAAGGAGCTGGGCATGGTGGCCCAGGCCTGTAATCCCAGCGGCTCAGGAGGCTGAGGCAGGAGGATCGTGAGTTCAAAGCCAGCCTCAGCAAGTTAGTGAGGCCCTGTCTCTAAACACAATATAAAAAAGGGCTCAGTGGTAGCATTCCTAGGTTCAATCCCCATACCAAAATAAACAACGAAACAAAACCCCAACAACCTAGGAAGGAAGGAAGAGAGAAAGACATGTGATGAAAGGGAATAAGATGCAAGGGAAGACTAGAAGGGAGAAGTATGAGGACGGAAAAGTGAATGAAAGTGGGAACAAAGTCCCTCCCTGGCAGAGTGCACTAGGAAAATATGTCGCAGGGTACAATGCTGTGTGAAATACCTTGGAACCAGCTAACTGATGTTTTTTCTTCCCCACTACCAGCTTGTGGCTCTCGAGAGAAAATTTCAAAGTTTCCAACAGGTAAGGCCTGTAATGACTAGATACCTTATATCTTTCACTGAAAAATACACAAGAACCATCGACAGAGTTGRTATCCTTATTTTAAGGGTAGATAGGTGATTGATATCAAAGATGTGCTTTTCCCATAACTTACTTCTCATCCCAGCTTCTGCTTCCCAGGATGCAGACAAGGACCCTGAGTCTAAGAGAGATGCAGTGTCCGGGCCAGGGTCACTGGGCGTGTGAGGTTTTGTGCCTCCCAGTTCATAGCCCACGTGGATCCCTTCTCACAATGGCACMTTTAATTTAACTCTTTGACAGTAGGTTGAGATGTGCTCTGCTTGATCAGCTATCGATCTCCCAACTTGCTGATTCTGGCATCGAGGACTCTGTTGTGAAAAGTGAAACACGCTTTCTAACATGAAGTTCCAAAGTCTGGGGTGTGTCACAAATATTTCAGATTCCCTTGAAACTCCATTTGCTGGTGACTAAATTTGAACCATTTCATACCACAGATGTTCTACAACTTTACCCAATGCTTACAAGCCGACTATTTACTTCCAAGCTTCTTACCATTTTTTTTTTTTTTTTGAGTAGCTGGACTCTTTAAAGACTTTTATGGAAACCATAACCTTTTATCTAGAGAAATGTAGACTCTCCCCATATTTGTTGTTTTGTGGGATTCTAGATGAAGACTCTCTGTAGGGCGTTGTTCTCCACTTTCTGTGCTTGAAGTTTGTTAGCAAGTTTATATGTATATATATATATTCGTTTTCCCCACTTTGACAATGGGTTGCACCCTGAGGCTTCCTTCATCAGTTTAAGAAGTGGTTGAGTGAATGAAAATTAGTAAGGACTTGTGCTCTAGAACAAAACCCAGCACTAGAGTTTTTAGCCTTCTACAATGCTTCACTGTTTCTACCAAAGGTCAAGAACTGGAGAACATGGTCCCAATGAACACAGGGTGTCCTCTCTCTCCTCATCCCTCCTGAAGAGTTTTTAGTGCTTTCTGAACGGAAATGCCTTTCAGCCTTTGGTCAGGGCAAAGGCTCTCCGGCCACCACAATCCCTACCACTCCCTATTGTCTTCCTTCTGAAGGCTAACCTTCATTTCCTGCTGGGCCCCATGAGTTTTGGAGTTTCAAATCCCCAGACAGWGTTGCTTTTGTACGTCAGAAGAACTTCTAATGAGCTCCTGGTGAACATTCTTAATAGTGCCTTTTGATGGACACAGCTCATTATGGTACTGGCATGAAGACAAATAGAATAATGAAAGAGAACAGAGTCCACAGAGAGAACTCCCTCAACGCACATGTATGGGYTTCTGATTTATGACAAGGGTAGAGAGAGAATAGGTTTTGCACTAAATGGTACTGGGYCACAGAACTGTCCTCTGGCTCTCTATTTCATCTGTAAACAAAGGAAATGAACTTGATTTTTTTTTTCTGTGCGTCACTGTATATATACCTAAATGTAATGCATACTTCGCCCCTRTTTATGTAGAGAAATCAACTATCGATAAAGTTAATCAAAATAGATTCGTTGCATTATCCTTTGTCCCCTCCAAAAAGGTGTCTCTGTCCCTAAAGACATTAAAAATCTTATAAGATTGAAACTGGGAGCTGACATTAGTGTAGAATGGCCAGGTTGTGTAGACAAAGGTAGGTCTGTTTGCCACTCAATTGAAAGCCAGTCAGGTGAGCACAAGGTGGGGGATGGATCTCAGGGGGCCACATGGCAAACAAAGGGGCTTGGAGTGAAATGAGTTCAGTCATTTTAACCCATGGGAGGAGGGGGTGGCAGTAAAAAGGGATCAGATTTCAAAGGCTTATCTGGAGGTACTAAAGATAAGAATAACAGGGCAAAGAATGGGAGATTTCCATTTATTTTTTCTTAGTGCAATCAGAATCATTGGCTCTGGTCCACTGACCCATGAACAATTCTTTTCCGGAGAATAGAGTAAGGACCTTCTTCCTTCTGGTTAAAAGCACATAAAGAGTTAAGGAATYGGAACACAACTGATAATAGCAAGCACCTCTTAGGTTTTCATAAGAGAATCGATCTGCCAAAGGACTGGAGTAATTGATTGGAAATGGAGGAGACCCCACTGATAAGGAATAAAAGGAAATTTTTCACACCTGCACTGAGACCTGCCCTTGGTCCTGGGAACTGCAATGTCATGAGCTCACTGATTGACCTCTCTTTTTTTTCCAGACAGTGGACAAAAACTTTTGCAGCAGCCATCCCTGCCAAAACGGTGGAACCTGCCTCAATCTGCATGATTCCTTTTATTGCATCTGTCCCTCACAGTGGGAGGTGAGTCACTTGCCTTTGATTAAAAGACCTGATGAGTCAGCATCTGTGATTTTTTTTATGGATTCATTCAGACATATTTAATTCTCCATCTGAAGTCTTTAGGATTCTGTGACTCCTGGATCAGAGTGAATTTTACCGTGTATGCCAGAGGATGGCAAGTAGGATTATATAACCCAGTGAATGCCAAGCCAACCTAAGGAGGAGTTCACTTGCTTGGATAATTACACTGAAGGCCGTGATATTTCTGTTAGCCTTAATTTTTTTAAACTGTTTTTTATATTTTTTAATTTGTTCTTTTTAGATAAACATGAGAGTATATTTTAACATATACATAAATGGAGTATAAYTTATTCTAATTAGGATCCCTTTCTTGTGTTTTTATATAATGTGGAGTTTCACTGGTCACATATTCTTATATGAACATGGGAAAGTTATATCAGATTCATTCTACTGTCTTTTCTGTTACCATCCTCCTGCCCTACCCTACATTCTTCTTTGTAATAATCCATTGAACTTCTAGTCCCCKTCCCATTATTGTGTGTTAGCATCTGCAGGTCAGAGAGAACATTCGGCCTTTGTTTTTTTGGGATTGGCTTATTTCACTTAGCATAATATTCTCCAGTTCCATCCATTTACTGACAAAGGCCATAATGCCATTCTTCTTTATGGCTGAGTAATATTCCGTTGTATTATGTACCACATTTTCTTTATCCATGCATCTGTTGAAGGGCACTTAGGTTGGTTCCATAACTTAGCTATTGTGAATTGATCTACTATAAACATTGATGTGGCTGCATCACTGTAGTATACTGATTTTAAATCCTTTGGGTATAAACCAAGGAGTGAGAGAACTGGGTCAAGTGGTGGCTCCATTCCAAGTTTTCTGAGGAATCTATACTGCCTTCCATAATGGTTGCAACAATTTGTAGTCCCACCAGCAATGTATGAGTGAACATTTTCCTCACATCCTCACCAACATTTATTCAGCCTTGAAAAAAATTAGCATTAATTTAAATTGTTCAGCTTTGGAAAGTAAAATGACTCTTGACATAATTAGTTTTCTTGCAAAATGTTCCTAACATTACATTAAGTAAATATTCCCAGGCATGGGGCTATTGTAAAATGAGAATTCATCTTGATAAGTCTTTTTGTGTGACTGCTGTATTTTTTTTTAAGAGAGAGAGAGAGAGAGAATTTTTTAATATTTATTTTTTAGATTTCGGTGGACACAATATCTTTATTTTATTTTTATGTGGTGCTGAGAACCCAGTGGCCCATGCATGCCAGGCGAGYGCATTACTGCTTGAGCCACATCCTCAGCCCATGTGTGACTGCTGTATTCTTATGAAGAGCTCTTTGGTTCAATTAGGTCAAATATGAATTCTAGAGGAAGGATAACTGATGGTCAATATTAGTATTTTTGTATTTGGCTTAACTAAGGACTTATTTACTGTCCATATGTAAATCCTTATACATACCATATGAAAATGAGCCCCCAGATGCCTCTGTGACCCATGCATGACACCTGACTTTCTTCTTTATATAACTGCAGGGTCCTCTTTGCTCAGCTGATGTTAACGAATGTGCGATTTATTCAGGAACACCCCTGAGCTGCCAGAATGGAGCCACATGTATGAACACAGTGGGGAGTTACAGGTAACCTCTTGAAAAAAAAAAAAAGCTGTTGCATTTTTGAAGGACTAAAAGCATCCCATAGTTAAAAGAATCCAAAGTCAATTGTCTGTGTTACCTGTAAAACTAGGTACTCCATGGGAAATACGTGACTCTGATTCAGCAAATACATAGCTATTTTTATTTAGATCAACCAGAGCTCCTGAATGCTCAACTATCACCCCGTGAAGAAGTTCTTTCGCCAGCATCTTAAGGAATGGGAAGAAGGGTTCCCTGTATTAGTGAGTTTGTGGTTTCAGTAAGCGTAGCTTCATTCAACACTAGGTAAAAAWGTTGACCAAAACAGGATCAAACATTGAACTGTGTTAATTAGTCAATGTCTTTCTCCATGTAGCCACCAGTTCCCTCTCCGAATCCACGTKCAGGCCTAGGTTTTCTTTTTTAAAATTTTTATTTGGCCAAATGACTTGTCCACAATATTCTCCTGCTCAGCTCAGGCATCGCCTTCCACAGAAAACTTCTGTTCCTTTACTAAACTGAGTTAGGTATCACAGTGCCCCATTTTCCCACCACGCTTCTAGACTGTTGTCATCAAAGCCATGATGATTCACCTATTCATCTTCTTAATAATCAAAGCCAGAACTTTGCAGCAGATCATCATCAAGTTTCCTTGTGTGGAGTTCCTTAAAATCACTTTTTAAAATAATCTGTAGATATTATCTTTCCCCATATTTTGACTGGTCTCCTGTTTTCCAAGAGTATTTAAGGGTAAAGAAATGGGTTCTGCTAGGATGTGAACAAATTCTTTCAACATGGGGTACAATCTCACTGGACTCCAGAGCAATTGTTTGTTCTCTTCCTAGTATCTTCCTCTTGCTCTTCAATTTCCTGCGAGAAATATCCATTCTATTCTTTCCAGAAAAACTAAGGGTAGCAATTTAGTTTTTTTTTTATATTTTTTTTAGTTATACATGGACACAATATCTTTATTTATTTTTTATGAGATGCTGAGGATCGAACCCAGAGTGGGAAGCACTTTGCCACTGAACCACCATCCCAGCCTGTAATCTAGTTTTTATCCCTGTCATCTATTAAGACATTATTTTATCCAAAAGCAGTTACCATTCTTCTCTTTTCATTTAAATGATTCTTAAAAAAAAAAAAAAAGATTCTGATCTTTTTTTTAAAAAAATCTGATCTTTAAAACTTTTGCTCATTCCAGGTTAAAATTAATGCATTCACTTCTGGTAATATGTTTATGAGTTCAACCATTATGCAAAAATAACATTATCAACCCCTATCTTAAATTGAATACCAGGTTATTAAAGACCCTAAAGGGTGGTACAGGACAAGCTGAGTGTTAGAAATTTGAAGGCACAGCCATTGAACTGTTTTAAAAGCTTTGCTTTTAGGATTTGGCTTTTAATTTAAATGCTCCTTTGCCCCTTGCTTTTATAAACGTTCAGACTTGGGCTTATCTTTCATTCCCTTGAAAGCATTATCTCTTGGTTTCTATTTATGGGCATTTATCAAGGAGAATTGCTACTTGGAGATATCAGTGGCAAATTGTCCTGACTCCCAGAACGTATACTTTCTGGCCTTCCCAATATCTAGAAATGTCCTGGAGATTAGATCTCACTCCCGATCTTCCTTTATCGTCACTGTCTGTCTTGGTATCTTGTGTGCCAATAAAGTGATAAAGATGTGCAAGGGGGACAAAATCCATCAGCCAAGCAGGCTGTTATTTTTGTTGCTCTCAGCACATTATTTGTCTTCACTGCAAAATAGAAATTGAAAAAAAAAAAACCTTTAACATTCATAGCTATTTATAGCATGTCCAGATACATACATAGGAGAAAGGGAGAGGGAGAAGGAGAAGGAGAGGGAGAAACAGAGAGAGACAGGAAGGGAGTTGGGAGAGAGAAACCATTTTATTTGTTGAGAGCAGCATTTCTAAATTAAAGCCTCAACTTTGCAAGAGCAGTCCCAAATCTCTTGTACCTTGCAGTAAAAAGCATAAGGCCTCCATCTGCTGGCTCTGGGAATGATTTTGGCTTTTAATCTTTGCCCTTCATAGATTTGCTGGAAGACATCAGGAAGCAGAACATTTAAATCTGGTTTCTTGCTCTTGATATGAGGATGATTAGTGAAGCCTCGGGAATCCCAGTTGATTTCCTATGCCTTAAGCACTCGAATGGATGCATATCATGGTGACTTTTTGAAGGAATAATATTTTTAAAAATCCATGAGCATAAAATTTAATTCTTGCATTGTGTAATCTGTACATAATGAAACAGAGAGCATTTAGAGGCTTTCTTTAGTCCTATTAATTTTGTGAGGCTAAATCCTTATTAATCAGTAGTTTCACTGAGACTAGAAATCCCTCTGGGAAACTTCAAAACACTTTTGCCAAAGGAAAACTTGAGTCACTTTTGAATAATCTGGACCTGCAAAAATGTGCTCATGATGGACAAAGTTTGCTTTGAATTTGAGGCCTCCTTCAAGGTTTTGTTGTTGTTTGTTTGTTTGTTTTTAACTCTTAGAACTGATTTACTTGGGGATAAAAATGGAGTTTTTTATTTAACAGGATTAATAGTTCATAATTGTAAAGACTTTTTAAAAAGATAAAGCACTGTGCAAATACTAATTAATTGGAAGCTCTTTTCATAGACAAGTTTTTGGCAAAAAATTATTTTATAAAGTAATAAGAACAAGAAAAATCATCATCTATTCCTACTCATTCTAGAGGTCTTACCCCCAACTGCCTCAGACAGCTAACAGAACAGTATTTTGCCACTTCTCAATATTGTTATGGCCTCTTTATTGTGAAGAATTGATACATCTCRTTTCCCTACTTTGTGTTTAAGATAGCCCTTGGGGTCTGAACTTGCCACCCATGGATGGTGGATGTTATATACTTAGGGTTCAGATCTGAAAGGCTTTTTAGGAAAAAGCGAAACAAAACAATTTGCATTTGTTCTCCAGGAATGTGATGATGCTTAGTATATTTTCTTTTCATTCATATCAATGGTGTATTTTAAAACATGCCAAGCTTAGACGATGAGGATAATCTGGTTTTAACTAAGGTGGTAGTTAAGTATTAAACTTATTATCTCTTTCAGTTAGTCAGTATATTGATATTGAACCATGGACTCTAACATAAGTTAAACTATGACTATGGAAGCATCTTTGACATTATCTCAATTGCCAAATGCACTTGTAATGTTTCTGAAGTCTGAAAAGCCTAGCTTTATTCTGCTGCAACCAAGTTGGTGATAAAAGGTTATTACAAAGGTGACCTCAGTAACTAATCAGTAACTAATAACTAAAACAGGAGTAGTATTGGGGTCATTTTAAAATGTACACATGGCTTTCATTTTCATGTAGGAAGTATATAATTATTCTTTTTCTTTAAAGGCTGTATCAGTTCTCCTTGAAAAATACATTTTACATTCAAACACTTTTATGTTAAAAAGACATGCACATGCAAAGTCTTCATACTAACTTCACCTTCAGACCAGGGAAATGTAACAGGGAAAAACAATGGTGCAGGAGTAACATACACCTGGGTTTTAGTTTATCTTCTATCAATAGTCAATTCTGTGGCCATAGGCAGCATGTGTCTGTAAAATGGGATTTAAAGTATTTGTCTTGAGATCACAGTGGGGAAGCTTATAGTCTGGTTGGCTTCCCTTCTCCCTCCTGTCTTCTTATGTTATTTAAATTTAAATGAAAGAGGTCTACTTTGTAGCTGGTTAAAGGAGAGTACAGGGTTAAGATTCACTCATGTCCCCACTACAATAGGGAGAAAGAGAGAAGGAGGAGGAGAAAAAGAGGATTCAACTGCAGGTCCATGGACCACAATTTCCTCATTTACCTGTGGTTAAGTGCTCAGAGATAAGATAAACACAAATTCTGAGCACTTCCTACAGAGGAATGCAAAACTGAGAAATTATATCCCATCTGATTCAAAAGTATGATATGTCAAGGTCATTGTACTGTCATGTGTAACAAATTAAAAAATTTTAAAATAAATAAATAAATAAATAACCTCTCATGAGCTAAAAAAAAAAAAGAATGCCTTTAGAATCCGGCGTGAACATAGTGCTCATGTGTGATTAGTACACTGTGTGTACTGTGTGTCCCAGAGGTTCCCAAGCAGATCTCTCGTATCCAGAAAATAGACTTAGCAAGGAAGAGAAAAAGAAAGAAAAAAAATAGAGAGAGAAAGAAACTAGATTCAGAAAGCTAGTAATCATTGGTTTTAAGATCTTTTAAACAATTTTGCAGGTGTGTGGTGTGGTGTGGAAATAGAGTTTTAGTAATATAGGCAGTTAGATCAAATGCTCAAATGTGTATGAAATGTAAAAGTTTTGCAATCCCCCTAAAACTAATTAAGTTCTCTGTAAGCATTTTCTATGTATGTACGAGAAAGAGAAGAAAAATGGGAAGAGAACACATGAGGAAAAGTCTAGAAAAAAGATGAGGGGAAGATAGGTAGCTCTAGGTAAGGAAAGAAYGGAATTTCTTCTTGAGTTTAATCATTTATTGTGATTCATCCATGATCTTGTCTTAAATGAGAAAAAGCACTATTGTAATACTGGTAAATGTGATTTATTAATGAAATAGCTTTCATATAAATATATACGATGTTGCAAATTTCATGGCTCACATTTCTACAAAAAAAATATTCATTTATCTGCAATTCAAAAATTTAACGGGACATCCTCAATTTTTATTTGCTAAGCCTGGTAACCCTACATGTGAGTTCGTGGAAACTGTTCACCACTATCTTACTCTCTGGCCATGTTCTCTGATTGCTTCTTCCTTAGGAACTGATCAAGGATATCACCACAGCAATTGTTTCGGGTGCCCATCATGCACATGCCACATCCTGTCACCAGGGTGTGGCTCTTGATCCTCTCAAACAGCCAAGCTGATTTCCTGTCATGTGATTCCCATGTCATCTGTAGATCTTAGCTGAGCTCCTTGAACCTCAGTGGGCATTGTTGAAAGGGTTTCTTTACCTTGTAGAATGGCCCCTTTTCCAGAAGACTCAGAAACTAGACCCTGTTGCCAGGCATGGGAGGCAAGCAAGGCCATGCAGGTCCCCCTCTTCCTTATCTATGTCCCCTGATACAGAGGGTCAATTCTTTTCAGGAGGGCTTGCTCTGCCAATGCTGCTGGAGTCTGACAAATGGTGACCTCTGGGCTCCTCCCTTCCTTCAGATGTGTTCAGATGGTGTGAATAAACTTAGGCTTCTGTGACTCCTCTGTCCCTTTCTCTTCCCATGTTTCTACCTTACCACTTCCCTTTAAGGTGGCAGTGCAAATATAAAGTTGACTCAGCAACCTGAAGAACAATAATGTCTTCAACAACTTTCTTTATTTGATCATTATTGGACTGAAATCTTCTAGTAACAAAATGCCCTTGGGTATCATATATAATAATTACAATTTTGTTGTGAGTTAAAATGTGACTATGAAAGAAATGTCACCATATTGACACTACATCTTTTATGGATAGAAGACTTATCATGCTTTGTAATATGAGATTAATCATCATAGACTCAGATATGGATATCATATGGCCTGCAGGGTTTTTACCCACCTGGAGAGCATTCTGGAGTCATTAGTTTTGTCAGTGTCACCTGGGCTTAGTGGAAGGTCCAGCAGAATGAATGATGAATGAACTTGCTGATCTCCCCCTTTCCCTTTCCCTTTATCACCCATGGTTTGTAGATGTCTGACCTTTGAAAGTGCTGTTTGATGACTTGATAGTAGAAGAATTGTAGAGGTAGCCTTGTGAGATATTAAGTCATGATTCTCTAATACTTTATTTGTGAAGATAATACATTAAATAAATCTTTGCCTAGAGCAGAACAGTGATTTTTCTCCCAGAGTTCCAGCCTGTCAATCTACATTGCTGCATTAGGATTCCATGTTACTATCATCAATTTGCAATTTGAGTGGTTTTTTTAAATTGATGCTAAGAGATAGACATTGGCCTTTAAGTACAAACCCTGTTATTACATTCTTGTGTTACCGACAGTTGTATATGCACACCTGAAACATATGGACCCCAGTGTGCCTTCAAATATAATGACTGCGAAGGGGGCTCTCAGAAGCACTGTGGCCACGGCATCTGTGAAGATTTGGACCGAGAGCGACCTGGAGTGGTGGGTCCCTTTCCCAAATATAACTCCTTGTGGGACTCATGACTGTTAACTTCTCCTTCCTGTACTGACTGTGCAGGACAACTGCCCAATAGAACTGCAGACAGGAAGTCATTCACTGCACATTAATAGGGCACAGGCAGGGAGAGAAGATGCCATATTCAGAAAACTGGAGCCAGATGTTTAAGATTTCATTATATAAAATATTAAATTTTTATGATTCCTTTATGAGTCTCTCTGAGTCTTTACCTTCCCTTGGCCTTGTGTGTTTTAACAATGACAAGACATGAAAACACAAAAAGGATTGGTTTTGTCAGCAGCATGTAATTTTGAGTGTGGATTTTTCTGGCCCTGAGCTCCTCTACTGCTGCAGATTCCATGAGTCTTCTTTTCTGATATTCCTCTATGCCTGGTCCTGGGGACCATAGCTCCTGGCCCACAAGCTTGCCCAATCCTGGCCAGTTTGGCTGTTTAGAAGAACTTTGGAACTTAAAAGTTCTATTATTTTTCCTGTTCATATGATGTAAAATGTGTTTTTTTCCAATGGTGGAATGGTGGGGGAGGAGTGGGTCGAGGGGAGGATGGGAAGGAAAGAATAGATTTTCAAAAAGGAAACAAATAGAATTGAATTTTCCAAGGTCTATGTCTATATGGGTGTTTTTCCTTCTAAAAATCATAGCAGGGTGAGTACATTGACTTTAATTATATTGACTTGCTGTTCTTGATTGTTGTTGCTCTTTTCCTGGCAAGGAAAAAGATAAATTATAGGAGTCTCTTACTCTGAAATAATGATGTCCCCCCCGCCTTTTTTTCCCCATGGTCTGGTCTAAATGCTGAAATCACAGGGGAAGAAAAAGAAAAGCCATTCAATTGGCTTGATGGAAATGAATGTTAGACCATAAACAGTTGGGGGTTGGTGAGATTTTCAAAGACTTCTCTTGCTCCTTTTCCTGATTGTCTCTGTTTACTCTGTTGTCCTCGTGCCAGGCCAACTTCACCTGCATCTGTGAAGCTGGGTGGACAACTGGGTCGAAAGGTATCTCCTGCACACAGGATAAAGATGAGTGTAGCTTCCAGCCTTCGCCTTGTTCGGAACTTGCACAGTGCTTCAACACTCCTGGCTCTTTCTATTGTGGAGCCTGTCCAACAGGTACATTCTCAGGACCACATGCTAGGTCTGCATGCCAGGCAGGCAAGGCACCAGAACCAATTTCCTTTCCCTACTGATGTGCAATATGAGGACCATTCATAGGAGGTGTTGGAATCTAGTTGAATGTTCTGTTTTACTAACTTCTGCTTGAGACTATCATACTACTTATAACCTTTATTATTATACTATTATAACCTTTGTATAATAGAGGTGGAATTTTTCTCCAAAAAATGGCTAGCGTCAAACTTTGGGCCAGCATTAGCCATAGAGTTTAAAAGTTCTAACCTTCTATTGCCAAGACCATCAATTAACTAGACTTGTGGTCAAGAAACAAATACATAGTCCTATTTTTCATACCAATCCAATGTTTGCAAACTTGAGTGATTCTTTGTCTACACTGAAGTCCAGTAGTTCTTGCCTGAGTGTGTCCTTTGAGTACCCTATGACCTTCATATAAATAAGGATGCTCCGCTCTATCATAACCCCACAGACACCAATCTCCAGGAAAGGCCATATGTTGAGTTGCTGAAAACATGGGTTCTTTCCTCCAAGCTCCCTCTGTAACTGTACAAGATCATCACCCACTCAACACGATATTGGTAGGGCATCTACTATGAGCAAAACTCAGTGCTGGGTGCTCTGGAAGCCATTCACCAGGCTGCAGGGAGTTTACAAGGCTTCTCTCCCTGGATGTTCTCAGAAAGTAGAGAACAGATTATCATCATAGCAGCCATCCTTTTATGAAAGAATCATTATGGCACTGTGTAAAGGTAAGCAATTATTGTTTTCATTCTTGCAACCACAACAAAAACAAGTCATGGTAGAATTAGTATTATTCACATTTTTAAATAGGAAAACTTAAGGCTTGGAGAAGTTAAATAAGACACCAGAACCAATTTCCTTCTACTACTGACATGTAATACGAAGACCATTCATAAGAGGTGTTGGAATGTAGTTGAATGTCCTGTTTTACTAAGTTTCCCCAAATTCTGTAGTTTATAAGTAATCAGAATTCTTAGAGGAGACTTTTACATAGACCCAAGGATATAAAGCTTAAAATTTTAAACATTATTATAATTTTAATAACTTGAATTATAAGAATAATACAAACTTGTTATCAAAATGAAACAAAACATGAATGACTAAACCAAAATAATATTCTCTTTCTTCACCTTCAATAAAATTAGTTATCCATTTTCCTTAGAAACACTGAAAAACACATACAGGTTTTCATATTGTTATTTCCTTAAATTGGGAGTAGGATTCCAACTCTGCATATTAATATTAAATTAATTATTTTCAATTACAATATGCATCAAAAATTTATTTCAATGTGAGTGTGCACATGTAAGTGATATGGGGGCATGTCTGCTATTAAAATCATTTTTAGTAGTAAGTGGTACAGATGAGTCATGAGAAATTCAGCAATGTCCCTATTGACCACTGATTTTTTTCCTATTAAACATGCTGAAATAGATATCTTCTTACCTACATTTTAATATACTGGGTAGTTTTATCATTACAGAATAAGTTTCAAGAAAAATTTTTAGTCAAATGATATATATTTTTAAAATTTTTAATGAATACTGTCAGATSTTTTTTCAAATTGGTTATATTAATTAAATATCCAACTTGCAGTATGTAAGAATACATACTCTGCCTGAATTTGATTCTAAGAATTTAAGCATTTTTTTTTTTGGCAATCTGACAGGTACATGTCATTTTAATATTTTTTGTTCTTTTAGTAAAGTAGATTTTTAATGCTTTAAATCTTTGTATTTCTTCATTGTTGACTTACATATAGAGCTAACCTTTCACATCTTCTTGTTTTTCTAGGCTGGCAAGGAAATGGATATGATTGTCAAGATATCAATGAATGTGAGATCAACAATGGTGGCTGTTCTTTGGTTCCACTTGTTGGGTGTGTGAATACACCGGGATCTTTCAAGTGTGAAAGCTGTCCACCAGGTACTGCATCAGATTTCCTGCTGTCATTGCTACCAACACATACATTTGAAAGCAGAATCTTATACAGTATTTTAAATATGATTTCTATCCAACAACAGAAACTGAATAGTACAGAACATTTCATCTAACTTGGTGTTTTAGGACAAATTCGATAACTACAACTATAGAAAGATTTTTTTTTAAATTAATATCAATAGAAAACAGGAAGGAAGTCTTTAAAAGTGGTGAAATTGTCACTGAGATAACGCAGAATTTGATTTTTTTTGTGTGTAGATCTCAGATCTTCTGTATTATTCTCACATGTAATTTATTAATATAGTATACTAATGGGATGGTTTACATGTGAGGTTTGCTAAACCACAGGCATGGAATCCATGTTAGTTTTTTTTTTTTCCTGGAAAGAAGTTATTATTGCTACTCTTTCATCTGAACTAAATTAGTATCCAAGAAGTTCAGAGAGTTTTAAGGAATAAACTGAAATTTTGCAACTTCTAATAACATGAAACAACAATATTTCTAGGTTTACCAGTAGTTTCATTTATATATATATATATATATATATATATATATGTGTGTGTGTGTATAATATATGTGTGTGTGAGTGTGTGTGTATGTGTGTGTATGGTGATAAAACTAACCAGTTTTATCATAGAATAAGTTTCAAGAAGAGGAAACTATATTTTATATATAAACTATATATCACATATATATATATATATAATTTTTTCATTAGAGTCAACTTAGAACATCATTTATAATTTGTCACTCTTTTTCTCAATTATAGTATTTTATTTTTGACACTTCATTTTTATATCTTTGATGCCAGAGGATTTCTACTTGGTGACTTAGGATATCTGATTCTAAGATTGGCATTCTTTCTCCCCTACCCTTAATATTATTTCTCACACCCTGCTCTGCTTTGATCAGGGTATGTAGGTGATGGAAGAGTGTGCACTCCCATAGACATCTGCTTGATCAATAATGGAGGCTGCCACCCAGATGCATCCTGCTCCTCAGCTCTAGGTAATGACTCATCTCTTTCTCTCTTTGTCATTGGGTATTTTACTATGACCCTCCAAATCAATTCAACATTTGAAAAAATAAGATCTTTTGTCCACAAAATTCTTATTTTGATTCTTGAGCATCAAATCCAAAATTAATCCACATAATAAAACCACATGCTTGGATTTTTTAAAAATATAATAAAGCTTTAATGATCTATTTTAATTTAGGAATTATTTCTCAAGGTAATTAAGCCACCTAATTAATTCATGACTATATTTCAGCAAGCAGGAAAGAGGAATGGAGGAAGAATGAAATTCCACTTCCCTTTAAAGGACTCTTTCATTTCTCTGTCATTAGCTAGAATTGAGCCGTATGGCTGACCATGGCTGCAAAGAAAGTCTGGGAAATATCTTTGTTTCAGGCCTTGTGAATCAGCTTAAATAAGGGGAAAATGGATCTAGTATGATCCAGTRTCTCTAGTGTTGCATAAAAGAAGATTCACCTGCTATAACAATATCTCTGAGAGATATTGTATTATTGTATATAATCACAAATAGTACATAAAATATGTTTACTGTATGAAAATATATATATTTACTTTACCTGTAACAATAATAGATATTACCATTTTTCATCTTGGTCAATTTTATAAACAAAATTAGTTTTTATCAAGGTCTTTTTATTCTTAATATTAATAATTTTCATATTTTACTAGCCCCTTTTCTAGTTTGTTCATATCTTTTTCTCATTTGCTTTCTTATTGATTTGTAAAATTTCATTATGTACTAGGTTCATGATCTCATTATCTGTCTTATGTTTTACAAGTTTTTTTTTAGCATGTTGTTCTCTTAATTTTGTGGTGGTATTTTCTATATAAGAAGTTTAAAATTTTTGTATAGTTTTAAAAATAAACCTTTTATTATTTCTCTTGTTGGTTTCATATTTAGGAAGACCTATCTTACCAAGACTTTAAAAATAGGTACATGTTCTTTTATACTTTGATTTTTTTTTGCATTAAGATCTTTGATCTTTTTAGAACTTGTATATTTATGATATTAAATAGAAATTGACCTTGATATTTTTGTCCAAATGCATAGAACTATTTATTGAATAATATGCTATATTTCTTGCTATTTCAAAATATTACTTTTATTTTTTAATTAACTTGTCATACGTGTACATAATATAAGAATATATGTGTGTGTGTGTATTGGTATATATATGTATATGTATACACATATACTTGCAACTAAATGCTCTTTAGATGGCAAACAGCATGCTGATGTGTTTAGAAGCATAATTTGTTGACTTGTATTTCTCCCTGGCTTTACCGTATTCTAATTGTGTTCCCTTCATCAGGACATTTAATCTCTGTGTGCTTTAGTTCTTCTGTGAAATGGGATAATCACAGTACCTATCTTGCAGGGCTCTTCGAAGGATTAAATGAGTCTATACATATCATGTGCTTAAAACAGATACAAATGTATCTCCTTTTTCATATAGAAGACAGTCATATAGTGAATGACCCCAAGAGGCACTTTACATATTTTTGATTTTTTTTTCCAGTACTGGGGATTGAATCCAGGAGCGCTCTATTACTGAGCTGTATTCCTAGAAGTTCTTATTTATTTTTTAACGTTTTTGAGACAGGCTTTTGCTAAGTTGCTAAGGCTAACCTTGAACTTGTGATCCTCATGCCTCAGCTTCCCAAAGAGCTGGAATTACAGGCAAGTGTCACCACACCCAATTAAATTGATTTTCTTCACTGCAGCCCGTAGGTTTATCCCAGGAACCTTAAAACATGTCCAGGCAAAGCTGCAGCAGCATTGGAGTTACTTACTACATTTCCCTTCTGTAAATATTTTTTTTAAAAAATAATTAACTATGAAGAATACATCCCTCGGCAATTATTTTTAAAAAGATAAATGTTTTATTATTAAAACAATCTTGCAAATAATATAAGGTGAGACTGAAACACATTTATATCATCAACTATTCTGTTATAAATCTGTTATATTGCAGAATTTATTCTATTTGTTTCTTTAATTCTTCAGCAAGGTTTTCTATTTGTCTCAATAGTATTTGCTAAGGGAGGAATATGTTTAAGTTAATTGCCATATTGATTTCCATGTATTATTTCAACCATTTTACAACAATGGAAAGAACATGTGTTTTCTTCAATGAGATATGACTTTTTGCTGTTAAATAAGAAATCTGAAAATCTCTGGGCATGAAATTTAGTAAAATTTTCTAAAATACTAGGATAAGTATTATTTAAAAAAAAGTGGTAGCAGGAAGATCCTATGATACTCTCACACTGTCTTTAGCTATTATCCCGTATACATCATAATTAACAGTGAATATTGATTCATATTAAAATAGATTTAATCATTCCAAGTCCTTCTGACTAAGTTTAATCCCCAGACCATTGAGTTTGTCATTGTTTTTGTTTTGTAACACGGAAATGAAGAACTCATTAAGAAGTGTGGGAGAGGGCTGGGGCTGGGACTCAGTGGCAGAGCGCTCGTCTGGAATGTGTGGGGCGCTGGGTTCCATCTTCAGCACCACATAAAAATAAATGGAGGTGTTGTGTCCATCTAAAACTGAAAAAATATTAAATTAGAGGGAAAAAATAAGTGTAGCAGAAGTTTTTGATGATTTCCCACTTACCTATGTTATTGTATTAACCTTCAATCTGCAGTTTCACTGCAAAATTTCTTTAAAGCCTCAAATTAATTTAGTGATGAATTGCCTGGGTAAAACTGGCAGCATAAAATCTGAATGTCCACATAACTGGGAATATGTGAACCTCCCATTCTAATTCTACTTCTGTGCAATGTGCTGTAGGCACCTTCCGTGTACAGGTGCTCCTGGCTCCTCCATATTTGGGTTGTGTATCCTTGGTCAAGTCAACCTGTCTGTGCTCTGTTCTCATTTGTGAACTTGTAAATAAATACAGTAGCACCTGTTATAGGCTATTGGGAGGAGTATATTAGTGGTTTTAACAGAAATGATCAGAGGCATCTTACTGTCTTCTGATGACCCCTCCACCATGAGGAACCCCCATCTTCTCTTGCTTATCTCTCATCTGTACACAGAACAATCAGGTATGTGAAATGACAGTACTAGTGCTAATGCATATAGAGCATTGGAAACATTTAATGATTTTTTAAAATTTTAATTCAAAAAACAGAAAAATAAAGATTATAATATTTTCTTCTTTGTCCATAGGAATATATAAACTTGACATTGGTGGATTCTTATCTAGACATCAGGATCTGAGTTTATCATTGCACTTTAATCGGGGAGGATGCCTATATTTACACTTACATTTTTATTTCTGAACAGGTTCATTACCTCTTTGCACCTGTCTCCCAGGATATACTGGAAATGGTTATGGACCAAACGGATGTGTGCAACTCAGTAATATTTGCCTAAGTCACCCTTGCTTACATGGACAATGCATAGTGAGTCCTTTGTTTTTTGTGGGGAAATAGAGTGATTGAAAATAATTTTAGTTTCACTTCTAGAAAATAAATTTTTATATTAGTTTCAAGACAATGATTGAAGATTAAGATAAGGAACTTGGAATAACACTTGGATAAAAGGTAGGTAGTAGCTTTAGTTCCCAGGAAAAACAGTTTATTTTTTATTACAGTGACTTACAAAGCCTACAGTTGGTCCAGATAAATATGAGTACTTAGCAATTGTCATTTAAACTAACTAATTACAAGTTGGGCTACTGGAAAAATACTTAATATGGTTCAAGTCCTGTTGAGTATATTTAGTAGTGTCACTTTTCTTTGTTATTTTGGTTGATTTCATTTTGTGGTATATCCATTTGTTTTATGGTATTGTGCTTTTTTTTTCTGACTCCTTAGGACACAGTATCTAGTTATTTTTGTCGGTGTGACCCGGGTTGGGCTGGTGTCAACTGCACAGAAAACATCAATGAGTGTTCCAGTAACCCCTGTCAGAATGGGGGAACTTGTATTGATGGCATTAATGCTTTTAGTTGTGAATGCACAAGTTCCTGGACTGGATCTCACTGTCAGATTCCCCAGCAAGGTATGGTCACCACTTCTTATACCACACGTACTCCCAGCTTAGAAGTATCACAAGTCCTTCTGAAGATTCTCTGAATGAACAAATGTTCTTCTCCAGTTGCTCAGAACTAACTCTTTCTATGTAGGAGTGACATAGAATTTATGAGGCAAATATTTATGTATCCCAATTTAAATCATAAGAATTTTTCTTCAAAAGTATTAAATTAGTATTTACCATTTTGTTTTGCCCTTTCTGAATCAAAAAAAATATAAGCTAAGGCATTTTAGTTTTCTAAGGGAATATTTTTCATGTAGCAGTCATCAGATTTCCTTAAAATACTACATGTAATCACATCCCCTTCCTGCGCTGGAATATGCACTGGTTTCTCATTGCCGTTAAGTAGAAATTGGGGATGTTTTCCAATTATCTTCTAAAACCAGCCTTCACCCTGTCCATCTAAACTTATTTTTCACTACTTCCTTAGAAATACTTTTGTTTAAACCAGACATCACTCTGGCTTCCTGACCATGTGCTATTTGAGTATTTCCATTTCTTTTTTTTTTTATTTGTGATGTTTCTTTTCACAAGCCTCCTCGAATTTCTTCCATAATAATTCCTTCATAAAGTCTCTTCTGACTGCTCCATCCCTCACTTATTACTCCTAATTCTGGATCGACACATTGATGAGATGTTACCATGTGTTTAGCACCCTGGTGATCCCAGTTGAGAAATATAGGAGCATAAAACATTGTCTCCACTTGTTTCTGCTTACCTTCTAGTTGAGGATACACAACTAACCCAAATGGCAGAAAACATACCAGAACTAAAGCTATGAACTAAATGTGTGAGGTTAAGTCAAGTTTCATAGAGGTAAACTAGTCAAGGTTCTCCAAGGTTCATGGAGAAGGTTCGTGGAGAAGTGATGGTATATTTAAATTAGACTTTGAATAAAAGATGGAGTTTGGGAGTCAACAGAAGAGGGGACAGAGAAAAGGGAATGGAACAACAGGCCAGAGTTACCTAGACTCTTCCTTTTGAGAGTCTCTAAAAAGCACAGTTCTTCATCTTCTCCTTTGTAGTTTGTGGAGGATCGCTCTCAGAGATGAATGGAACCATCAGCTACAAGAGCCCCAGTGATGGCTATGTTCATGATGTTAACTGCTTCTGGGTTATCCGAACTGAAGAGGGAAAGGTAAATACAATTTCATTTGCATATTAGAATATACACAATAATATTTGAATATATATTGCATAAAATATACATAATGATAATTCAAATGTCATATATTGAGTTTTTACTCAATGCCAGGCTTTGTGCTAGATATTTCCCAACCTTTCTCTCATCATACACTAACTCTTTGAAATAAGTAATAACATCCTCATTTTGTAGATGAAATGACAAAAAGTAAGGGAAGCAATGTGAAGTTCTCCCACCCCCAACACTGCTTAGCTTGTAATTGGGAATGGTTGAATTTCAAAGTCAAGTTTGTCTGGTTCCAAAATCCATGCTTTAGGAATGAATGGTTCTCCACATTGGATGACTAACTGCAAGCTAGTAGTTAATTTATAAAGTCTAGTTGTTACGGAGACAATACTGTTTGAAGATGACCACTCGTATTAGTATATTGATTATTATGCAATATCCATCACAAGCCATTAAGATGACCTATTTTTTAAATAAAATGTCTCTGTGCCAAGTACTATGCTATTCACATACATCACAGCATTTTTAACTTCCAGAACCCTAAAGATAGGAATTACTAGCTTCATTTTACATATGTGGAAATGCAGCCTTGGGCAGTTGAGAAATTCAACCAGGACCATGTGGTTTGTAAGTGGCTTGTGGTGACTCAACCTCAGGCCATTGGGTCTCCAAAGCTTGTAACCCTAAGAAGCTGTGTGAATACTTTACTCTTAAAATAAAGATCTAAGCCCAAGTTTTTTTTGTGCTATTATATCCAACATTAATTACTTAATTATTTATTTCTCAATCAACTCTTGGACTCATTAAAGGAAAGTGATATATCTGCAKAGATAAGATTTTCCCTTGAAATTCTGTTTACATTTTCTAGCAGACTAGTATCATAGAGGACATTGTACAGGGGTCAGAAATGTTATTTTCCCTTGCGGAGGGAGGTTTCTTTAGGGTCTGGTAACTCCACAATAGAATAAATTCCAAAACAAATTCTCAGTGAGTATGTTATGTGAATTTCCTTCCTTCCATTTAGTTTTCATTAATTCTATTTCCTGACATTGAAAAGACTTTTTTTTCAAGGAGAAGTTCTTATGTGAAAAATTTTAAATATGTTTATTACCAATTTGTAAGAAAAATCATCCTGGTCTTTTCCTGATTGTTGTGGTTTTATATTTTTTCTTTTACAATAATGTATCTAATTATAGCAGAAAATATTTACAAATCAGAATAATTCAATAAATTAACATTTATTTATCATTTAAATTGTCTCACTGCATGAAATGATGTAATGATGGATAATATCTTAAAAATACCCTTACATAGAATTTCAAAAATCTCCTGAAATTCTTATTTACTAGCTGAACACTTTGATTTTAAGCTCTGATGAAAACTAAGCAGTCTTTTTTGGTTACTTATTTTAAATGAGGTTGTCCATACAAAATCTTCTGTTTTATTCTTTATATTACTATATTTGAAGTCTGTGCATTCTAACAGTTTACTTCAGAGATACATTTTCATGTTATTCTTTTCTACTTGCATACTCAGTGCTTTTCCTATTACCTTATTTCCATTCTTTATTGTTGGCATTGCTCATCCTTTAGTGATATCCAACCCCTGAGGACTCACAGACTATGCACATCTGCCCTGTGCCTATTCAGCCTATGCCTAAGTACATCAGTCTGGGCTATGTGTCTGAGACTCCCACGGTCTCTTCATCCTTGATGGGGAAGGAAGAATGTATGTGTAGGTCATTCAGAGGGTCACAATATACATTCTTAAGCATAGCAATATTAGTTAAACATAACTCACAGATTTTTCAAATAGACAGTTCATTACACTGATTTAGCAACCCTGTCAGACATACATTCAAAGTGATTTTATTTGATGTATTTGCCAGTTTAATGAAATCTAAGTGAATCTATTTTTTAATTGATACATAGCATTATACATATTTATGGAGTACTGTATGATAATTTGATATTTGTATACAATGTGCAATGATCAAATCAAGGAGACTAGCATTCCTCAAAGATCTTTTTATATATCTTGATATTAATTGAAGTTCGGTCTTAGCAATTCTTAACACAAGTCATTTAATTTGTAGAATTGCTCTATACATATTKAGGCATAATTAAGAAATGGGAGATGAATTCTAAAATAATGGACATGAAAATAATATATTATGGTTTTTCTATTTTTTAGGTCCTGCGTATCACTTTGATTTTTTTCCAACTAGAATCGGTGAATGATTGCCCACATGAGTTTCTTCAGATTCATGATGGAGATTCCTCTGCAGCCTTTCCACTTGGAAGATTCTGTGGCTCCAGACCCCCTCAGGAAATCCTCAGCAGTGACAATGCTCTCTATTTTCATCTCTATGCTGACCATTTGAGTAATGGAAGAGGATTTACAGCAAGATGGGAAACACAGGAACCAGGTATGTGTAAACATGGAGAAAAGCAAAGACAAATTTTGAAGTTATTAAATTTTCTTGATCCAGTCCAAACTTTCGGGTACATAACAAGTTTGGGGATCCAGAGATACAGTTTACGTTAATTATTTAAAAATCCAATTTTAAATGAACTGGATTTAATTTTGCATTCAAAGATAACAAATTAGGATATATTAAAAGAATTAATAAAACATGAATCTTAATGATTCCCTCATGAAATTACTGAGCAGCATCTTTATAAACTCTAGCAGTATATTTACCCCAGAGATGTCATTGAGGACTTTGTCCCCTCCTTCATCTAGTATTCCTTATCTTAATGTCCATTTGATAACTTGTTCTTTTCTTCTTGCTGTTATTTTGCTTTTATACTCAATTTAAAAACCTGTAACTATGAAAAATTTAAACATGTCAAAATAAGAAAGCCCAGGATACTGACTCCCTGTTCATTTATCAGTAACTCTGTTGGTCTCTTTCTGACTTTTTAATTTTTCATATTGGTGCATTTAGCAATTCTGGTGTCACCTTGGTTTAATTATTGTAGTTTAAAGTTTGATAGGTCAAATCCTCTGTGTTCTTTTTAAGCATAGTAGATCCTTTGCATATCCATATATACTTTTGAATCAGTTTATTTATTTCCCCCAGTGATCTGCTGTAATTTTGTTGGTATTTCATTAGCTGTATAATTAATTTAGGAATAAATGATCTCTTAAAATTGAGCCTGCCTATCTTTTAACATAGACTATCTCTATTCAGCTCTCCTGAAATTTATCCTGGCAATGTTTTATAGATTTCAGTCTTTTAGTATTCTATATATTTTGTTAGATTTATTTATAATATTTGATATTTTGTGTTACGCAAAATATTAATTTTCTAACATTTAATTTTCTACCTGTTGCTCACATAGAAATATGACATATTTTTAAAATAATGGATTTTTATTCTAGCCACATTGTGAAATTCATTAATCAATTCTTATTTTTTTATAGATTCCTTTGTTTTTTTCATATGCATTTATTCTGTGAATGAAGTGAATGAAGGATTTTTTTCTTTTTCATTTCAATATTTCTATTATTTCTTTTCCTTGATGTTGCCCCAGCTAAGACTGCCAATAAAAAGCTAAATAAAAGTGGTTGAAGAGACACCCCCCTTTTTTTTCCAGCTGCATAGGGGAAATGTTCAATATTCCATCATTGAATGTAATGTTAGACATAAGTTTTATCAGAGTAAGGGTATTCTCTTCTGTTTCAATTACATTGCTATATAACAAATTACAAATTTAGGGTTGTAGAACATTAATCATCTTATTTTGTTTCTGATTTTATGGATCAGGAATTTGGAAAGGGCCCAACATGATAATTACCACTTGAAATCTGTTAAGCAATTACAATCAGATGTTAGCAGGGACTGTAGTCATCTGAGGGCTCAACATTCAAGATGTCTCACTTGGGCTGGGCATAGCTCAGTGTACACTTCCTGCTTAGCAGACATGAGGCCTTGGGTTCAAGCTGAAGAAAGAAAGAAAGA